CCGATGCTTGGGTCGGCGCCGCGTGCGAAGTGGTGGGAGACAGCGCGGCGGCGGCGCCCGGCTCGTCGCCGGCCGCGGCCGCCGGAGGCCTGCTCGGCGTCTGCACCTGCGAAACACAGCAGGGCGAGGCGCGTCTGGGCGGGGAGGATATTGACGCGGCAGAGGGGTGCTCGATGAGAACGTGTGCTCAAGTCTCGCGGCGCAGGTGGCGCGGGTCTAGTTGCCCTCGGGCAGCGGGGAGGGCGGCTGTGGACGGCAGCGGCGGCGCCGGGCGAGGGACACGAGGCGTCTCGGAAGTGACGCGCGCCGGCTCGGGCTCTTTCCGCGCGGAGGCGAGCGCGAGCTGCTCCTCCTGCCTCGCCTTTGCACGGGCGGCGGCGGAGGGCGGGCCAAAGTAGCCCACGGTGTAGTTGTCCTTCTTGCAAAAGGGGCAGCTGACCCCGCGCGACGACATGCGCGGCGCCACCTGCAGGTAGCACTCGGTGCAGATTGGCTGCTTGCAGCACGAGGAGCGGTTCAGCCCGCCCGGAAAGTTTAGCATGCAGATGGGGCACTCGTCCAGGTGCGGCGAGGCCTCATCCTGGCCCTGCACGCGCGGCGCACCGTGAGTGGAGGTGGCACACGGGGCTCGCGGGCCGAGCCGGAGGGGTGATATACAAGGGAGCGCGCACCCTCGTGCACGGCGCGAGCCGGCGCTCGAGGATGGCGCGGCGCAGGGCGCGCTCGTCAAACTCGGCGCGCTGGGACACCTTCGGACTCGGCCGCAAATGCTCCGGAGACACCTGTGGCGGCCGGCCGGCCGAGGCCTGGTTCCCCATTGGCAGGACGATGAAGCGGGCACCACCGGTTTCTTTATACTTTAGTATTTAGTGCCTTCGTCCGAGCCTGACTGTTGTTCATCTTTCTACATACATACCTTCGTTGTTTATAATAATTAGGTGCCCGGTAGGCTTGGCTGCAAAGGGGATTTTTGTTGTGCCGACTTCGTGTGTGCTCCGCTTCTGAGAGAGAGATTGAGGGCCCAACTTGAGAATCGTGCTTTTTGGGTTGGGTTGGGTTGTTGATTTGGGTTGGGTTGTTCCGCGTGAGGTTGGGTCGTCGGCGCGAAGGGTGAGGTCTCGACCGCCGCCGCTCACGCCAGCGGACGGCCACTGCCGGTGTTTTTGGCTTCGCCACCGTCCAAGGCGTGCGCCATGCGCTCGCCGGCATCGAGCGAGCAACGTGATCGACCGAGCGGCTTGCTGTGTGGTCGCCTTCTTGTGGCTCTCGTCGAGAGCGTTTTGCGTCCCGGCGGGTGGGAGAATGTGTGTCGTCTGATGTGTCACTGTGTGCGTCACATCGATGTGGATAACAAGCACGGTCGATCCGTCAAAGCGATACACTCGTTCCTATCACGCTGGAAGGCTTGCACGGAGCTCTGTGCCGGCACACAGAAGAGCCGTGCGGCAAGAAGAGCTCGATGGGGAGCGAGAACTGCCAGAGGTGCTCACCCAGGTTTCGGAAGTCCGCCTTGATGCGGTCAGCCCCCCCCAGGTTTGACCGCGCAGCTCGCAAGACTCGTCGAACACTCGTAGCCTTTCTGCGCCTCTGACTCTGCAAGCTACGGCTTTATGCGGGAAGAGCAGTTTATTCGCAATATATCGACGAGTTCGAGAGAGCCACAGGCTTTCGCTCGGGAGGGATTGAGTGCGTCGCGACGGACTTCAGGCTACACCTGAAAATCTGACGGTTCTCGCTCCCCATCGAGCTCTTCTTGCCGCACGGCTCTTCTGTGTGCCGGCACAGAGCTCCGTGCAAGCCTTCCAGCGTGATAGGAACGAGTGTATCGCTTTGACGGATCGACCGTGCTTGTTATCCACATCGATGTGACGCACACAGTGACACTTCAGACGACACACATTCTCCCACCCGCCGGGACGCAAAACGCTCTCGACGAGAGCCACAAGAAGGCGGCCACACAGCAAGCCGCTCGGTCGATCACGTTGCTCGCTCGATGCCGGCGAGCGCATGGCGCACGCCTTGGACGGTGGCGAAGCCAAAAACACCGGCAGTGGCCGTCCGCTGGCGTGAGCGGCGGCGGTCGAGACCTCACCCTTCGCGCCGACGACCCAACCTCACGCGGAACAACCCAACCCAAGCACAACCCAACCCAACACGAAACAACCCAACTCAAAGCACGATTCTCAAGTTGGGCCCTCAGATTTTCAGTGTACGTAGCTCTTACGTACATTCCCGTAGGATTTTGAGACATGAGAGAGAGAGAGAGAGAGAGAGAGAGAGAGAGAGAGAGAGAGAGAGAGAGAGAGAGAGAGAGAGAGAGAGAGAGAGAGAGAGAGAGAGAGAGAGAGAGAGAGAGAGAGAGAGATTTTGAGTGAGAGTTTAGAGAGAGAGAGAGGGAGCGAAAATACATTTTTAATTTTATTTTCGCCTCGAGTCGAGCGCTGTGCTTATCTCTCTCCAACTCCATCCCTTCCTTGCTTGCGTCCCCCCATGCCGGTGAGCGGTGTGTCCAGTCGCTGGCTAGCCTCTTCTAAACCAACACTCCCGTTTCCCAAGAAAAGAAAAGTCGAAGTTCCTCGATTTCCGCGAGTGGCGTCTCACAAAAAGCCTGTGGCCGTCTCAACGTCGTTGCACACAAGTGGAGAATGGCCGTAGCTCCTCTCCACGAGCGATTGAGAGGACGTACCAAGTATCGATTCTGTATAGAATTGCAAGGCGCACACGCTGGTGCAGGCGGCGAGTCGTCGATCCGACTCGTTCCGACGTGAAGTCGCCGTGAAGGAGGGCGCCTGGGTCTAAATTTAGTGCGTGTGAATGAACTTTAGTGATAGTTTAGTGCGCTATTTAGTGCGTGTTCGAGTGCGTATATAGTGCGACTTTAACGCAAATTTAGTGCAAATTTAGTGCAAATTTAGTGCAAATTTAGCACATATTTAGTGTGTTTTATCTCCAATTTAGCGCCACATTTAGTTCACTTTAGGTGCGGGCAGCTGCAGTACATTTAGTGTGGGTCCCGCATCTTTAGTGCGGGCACGCACCTTTAGCACGGCTTCCCGGCCACACCACAGCTAGCCAGGGCCGCGTGCTTTGCTCCTTGGCTGCCAAGAATGCACCACAGGAGATGCCTGGCCCCTGCCCTCATGACCCAAAGGCAGGCTCCCAGTGAGGCTAGATATGCCGCCCTCCAGAGCAAGATCTCCCGACTGAGCACAGGCACAGCACCGATTCCCGAGAGGAGGACCAGCACAGTTGAATGCGCCACGCTTCCCGGCAATCGTTTTGCCGCTCGGCGGGCCCGGAGAAGCAGCCCGGAAAGCACCTTTTAGGCTGATATCAGCAGGTTTACTTCGCTCGGTTGGGGATGGGACGGGGAACTTTTGCGAGTGGGCAGGGAACTGCAGGGGGAGAGGGGGAGGGAGGCCCAGGGAGGGGCTGCGGCTGGATCCTACTGCGCGGCTGGACTAAAGACGCACTAAACCTCGCTAAATCTGGATGTAAAGTCGACTAAATTTGCGCTAAATTTGCGCTAAATTTGCACTAAAGTTGCACTAAATTCGCACTAAATTCGCGCTAAAGTGCACTAAAGATGCAGTACATAAACACTTCACACCGCACTAAATTTAGACCCAGGCGCCCTCCCGTGAAGGTTTGGCAAACAGGGCCATTTTGCCACATTTTGCCCTCTCGCGCGATCTTCTCGCGTCGGCAAGCGCGCGGGCCAGGATGGGCGAGCCGGTCCCGCCACGCTGGACGGGCCAGCGGCTGGCACGCGCCGGCCACCCCGGCGGCGCGGCGGCCTCATCGCGCTCGTCGTCTGCGAGGCCACCGCTCGGCGTCGCCGCGTCCGACGGCGATGGCGCTTGGCTGTGAGGTGGGATGGCGGCATGGTGCGCGCGGACGTGGGGGTGGTGCGGGATGCGCGTGCCAGCAAGCATAGTTTCACCTCCCCAACCCCGCAGGCGCGCCGACGTGCTGCCCGAGCGCGTTTGGGGGCAGCAGCAGCTCCTCGCGAGGCGCCTTCGGAGAAGTGCCACACCCCTTTCCCAGCCGCGCGCGAGTTGAGCTCCGATTTGCGCTCTTTTTCGCACACGCCCGACGCTAGTAGGTGAGGATCGACCATCCTCCGCTAGCAGGGCTTCGTCGGGCGCGTCTTCGTCGAGCGGTGGAGCATCTCCCATGCTCCCCCCCGCGCCCTCCTCGCAGCCCGCCCGCGGCCCACACCGACGCCCTCACGGGCTCACCCTAGTCGTAGGTGCGGTTTTTTTGCGTGCCCCCCGTCGATACGGGGCGCTGGGCGATGGCTGGGCTTGTCGCCGGGCGAGCTAGCCCCTCAGCCGGCCGCGGAGCGGAGGTGCGAAATCGAGGCGGCGCGGCCCCTGCGCGCAGCCTGTCCGGCCGGCGCGCGCATGGTTCCGTAGCCCGTCTAGTGCCTCACTGACCGACTCCAGCGCCACGGTGTATGTGGCCGGTGTGGTACTGGGGCTGGGCAGCCTTGGGGCCGGCGGGAACCGCCGTCTAGCGGTCGCACTAGTCTCTTTTCGTTGTGCAACCTGTTTGTTCAACGGTTGTTCAACCATACTTTGAGCCTTAATTATTAATTCGGGTTTGGGTCTCTGAGGTCGATACTAGCGTCCATAACTTGCCACAAGCATGCTTTACAAAAGTCCAGCGGAGGGAGACTCTCAGATCGGCTGTCCGCGCGCGCTGTGAACAGCGCCGTGGTTGAACACTGTTCAACGTCGTTGAACACGTAGCGAAGGAGAGACCGCCTACATCAGAGAGAGAGAGAAAAATACAAAATTATCTCTTGTAACACACTAGGCACGGGACTGGAGAAACAAAACAAAGCGCGCGGCAGCGTTGACCGCACAGCCTACTCGCCCAAGTACTCGCTCTCTTTTATGTCCCACCATGCAGAGCGCATCTCTCTCTCTGTTGAGATCTTGTTTGTGTCTCTGTTGTGCGAGGCGTGAACCGCGCCATTCGCTCTCACCTGGCAACCCTGTCTGCACGTCTCGCGCGCGCGTGAACAGGGCTCCAGGCCCCAAAGGAGGTGTGAGTGTTAGAGTTGTTTGGTATTGCTAAAAATCTCTCTCTGGAGAGAAGAGAAGAATTTATTGTTCGTTTTCAAATCTCTCTCTCTCTCTCTCTCTCTCTCTCTCTCTCTCTCTCTCTCTCTCTCTCTCTCTCTCTCTCTCTCTCTCTCTCTCTCTCTCTCTCTCTCTCTCTCTCTCTCTCTCTCTCTCTGCTAAGCGGACCGTGACCCCATACCACACCCCGCAAAAAGTCCGAACCCATAAGAGCATGGTGTGGCGCTCCAAGCTCGGCAGTGCTGAGCCGGACAACGGGCATTTGACGAGCTCCGAGGCGTCGCACGGTGGCTGGGCCTTCAGCAGCCACACTGCGCCCATCAGTGGCTTCAGCGAGCTGCTGTGCCTCGGCCGCCGCCTGGCCGACCCCTACGCCGCCGGCGACGTCCAGAGCCACCCGTTTTGCGTCCACGGCGCCAGTCGCTCGCTCAAGCCGTGCATGTGCGGCTCGGCGCTCGTGATGGGCATTCGCATGCACATGCCCGACGCCATCTGGGGCGCCAACCACGTCTCCCTCGCCCACGAGGCGTCGGGGCTGACCGTCTCGTTTACTGCGGAGGGCGCTCTCCTTCACTGGGCGCGCGACTCCGTCGAGCACGGCTCGCGGGACCTGCGCGTGCCCGTCGCCAACGCGGCCGTGTGGCAGGAGCGGCTGCGCGCCGCGCAAAAGGACGCCAGTCTCGACTACGACTGGACGTTCCGCTGCGACGGCTATGCCGGCGACGTCGAGGTTCGGCCGCGCAGCGGCGCGCGCGGCTGGGCAAGGAAGCACGAGAAGCAGGCGTCGCTCGCCATGCTCGGCAGCCTCGCGCCCGCCGTGCAGCCGCTATCCTCGGGCGCGTCAGACGCCGTGGGTGGCGGCGGCGCGGCTCCCGTCGCATCGCCACACTGCGGCGAGTGCCACCCCGCGCCCCTGGCCCTACACCTCACCCTCACCCCAACCCCAACCCCGTGCCCGACCCGTGCCCTGACCCTGACCCTGACCCTGGCCCCGGCCCCAGGCGACGGCCTCGCGGCGGACGGCGTCGCCGGCAGGCTGCTCCGGCAGCGGGGCGCGATTCTGTGGTCTGCCGACGTGCTGCTGTACGAGGCAGCGGGACTGGGGCGGCTCGTAGTTGAGCAATGGAGGAGCTGAGTGTTCAATCGATGCATTGGCAGGACCAGCTGCACGACTGGGGCGTCTCGACGCTGCGCGTCCGCGTCCGCGTCATGGAGTGGGGCTTCATCGCCCTCCTCTCGCACTACCTCCGCGTTCAGGGCGAGAGACGCAGCCGAGAGACAGCGGAGAGGCAGCCGAGAGGCAGCCGAGAGACAGCGGAGAGGCAGCCGAGAGACAGCGGAGAGGCAGCGGAGAGGCAGCCGAGAGACAGCGGAGAGGCAGCCGAGAGACAGCGGAGAGGCAGCCGAGAGGCAGCGGAGAGGCAGCCGAGAGGCAGCGGAGAGGCAGCCGAGAGGCAGCGGAGAGGCAGCCGAGAGACAGCGGAGACGCAGCCGAGAGGCAGCCGAGAGGCAGCCGAGAGACAGCGGAGAGGCAGCCGAGAGACAGCGGAGAGGCAGCCGAGAGACAGCCGAGAGGCAGCCGAGAGACAGCGGAGAAGCAGCCGAGAGGCAGCCGAGAGGCAGCCGAGAGGCAGCGGAGAGGCAGCCGAGAGACAGCGGAGAGGCAGCCGAGAGGCAGCGGAGAGGCAGCCGAGAGACAGCGGAGAGGCAGCCGAGAGGCAGCGGAGAGGCAGCCGAGAGACAGCGGAGAGGCAGCCGAGAGACAGCCGAGAGGCAGCCGAGAGGCAGCCGAGATGCAGCCGAGAGGCAGCCGGCGTGCCGCCGCTGGGTGCGGGGTTCACAGCTGGCCGTCTCGCTGCGCTCTCACCCGACGCCGTCTTCGCCGCAGGCGCTGCGGTGCGGCAGAGGGAGGTGCGGCTCTCCCTTCGCTGAGGGGAGATCCGCCCGAGATCAGCCGAGATCAGCCGAGGTTACGCGCGGGTAGGTGCGGCTCTTCCACCGTTTCGGCGAGCAGACGCTGCTGCGCTCGAGCCGTACGCTGCAGGGCGCGCACTCCGCCGGCGCGTCGGAGTGGGACGCGACGGCGATGAGTCCGGCGGAGGCGGAGGCATGCACGGTCTGTGGCGAGGCGGAGGAGGACTTGCTGCTCCCCGGGGGCGGGCAGGCTGGCGCGCAGGCCGCGGCCGCGCCGCCGCCGCCCGAGCTTGTCACCAGGACGCCTTCCCGGGCGTCTCCTCGGACACCTCCCAGACACCTCCGAGACCCGCCGCGCTTGTCACCACCAGGACCCTCCCCAGCGGAAAGACGGTCTGCGTGCGGGCGGCTCCAGTTGCAGCGCCGGCCGGGCTTGTGCCGATGAGAATGTCGGTGCCGCTCAGCGCAGCGGTGACTCCCCCCCTCGTCCCCGCGCCTGCTGCTGTTCCATCGGCGGCCGTGCCGCATTCGCCGCCCGCGCCGCATTCGCCGCCAGCGCCCTTCGCGCCGCCCGCGGCTTGCGGCCTGGGAGGCCCTCTCGCTGCCGCGCCAGAGCGCGAAACGGCGCCGCTGCCTTCGCTGCACGCCTCGCCGGCTGTCGCCAGTCCCACCGCGCTATGCGTGTCGGACGACGGGGTTGCGGTCGCCGTCGGCGGAGAGAGCGGTGGCGTCATGCTGCTGCGCGCGGCGCCGGCGGGCGGGGGGGAGGTCACCGAGGTGTGGCGCTCGGAGCGCGCGCACCGCGGCGCGGTCACGGCGCTGCGTTTCGTGCCGCGCGGCGGCGGCGAGGCGGGCGGCGAGGCGGGCGGCGGCGCGGAGGGCGGCGGCGCGGAGGGCGGCGGCGCGGAGGGCGGCGGCGCGGAGGGCGGCGGCGCGGAGGGCGGCGGCGCGGAGGGCGGCGCGGGCGGCGCCGAGGCGGCCGCGGCGTCTCTCGCCTCTGCGGGCGAGGACGGCAGGTGCGCGCTCTGGGCGTGCGCTGGCGGGAGCGGCGGCGGCGAGCCCGCGCTTGTGCAGGCGTCCTCTGCGAGAGGATCGGCATGATCTCGGGGACATCTCGGGGGATGGCAGGCGTGGGCCCTGCACTGCGAGACGGCCGACCGCTCCTACCTCCCGTGCGACGCGGCGGCGCGCGGAGGGGCGCGCGCCGTTCGCCCGCCGCGCAGGCGCCTGTCCGAGCCGGGCCGTGATCCGAGATGCCGCGAGATTAGGCGCGGCCTTCCTCCTCCGTGGTGGCGCACCTGTCGTGCGGCCCACACGGACAGCTCGCCGCCGCCGCCGGCCGGTCCATCTTCCTCCTGGCGCTTGGCGCCTCTGCGCCGCGCCGGCAGCTGCGCCGAGATGCTAGACACATCTCCCGTGTCTTCAGATTCGGCTTTGCTCCGACACGGAATCCACAGCACTCCGCTGTGTCCCGCTGCGTCCCGCTGCAGTCGCCGCTCCCGCTCGCCCGCTGTTTCCCGCGGTGGTCCCTGCTCCCAAATGCCCGCGCACTCACGCGATTGCTCCCAGTGCACGGCACGGGCCCGCACTAGTACCCCCGCCCCGACGCCGGCGGGCGCGACGCAAGCCCAAGATCTCCCCCGCTACCGGCGAGGAGCACGGGACGTGCACGACGCAGGCGGCTGCGCGCCGCGGCGGCCGTGTCGTCGCTGGTCCACGCGCCAAAGAGGCGCCTCCTCTGCGCCGCCGGGTACGGCGGCGTTTCCGTTTGGGAGGGCTTCGGGCTCGGCGAGGCGCCAGCGCGACTGCTCCCTTTCAAGGGCGTCGCCCGCTTCTCTCGCGGTCGGCCTTCGCGGGTGGCCTCTCCGCTCTCACCGCCGCGGGGCGCACCGGCTCCCGTAGGTGGCGCATGAGGGCGGGGCGCGTCCGTCCTCCCCGGGCCGCGAGCCCGCACCGACCCTCCTCGGAGCTTTCCTGCAGGCCCTCTCGAGGCGCTCTCGCTGCCGCCAGATGAGCGCTACGCCGCGGCGGGCGCGCAGGACTGCACCCTTGTCCTCTGGCCGCTCCACGCCGGCGGCAGCCGCAACGGCGACGGCGGCGACAACGGCGGTGTCGACCCGCGCCAGCGAGGTAGAGGGTTGTGCACGTGAGCTGCGTCTCCTCACCCGCATGGCGGTGAGCAGGCGTCGGCCCGGCCAGCGAGGCAGAGGCGGCCGTCGAGGGGGGCGCCGCTCTCTTCTTTGGCGGCTACGAGCGCAAGGCGAGCGGGTGGAGCCAGGGAGGGATATGTGTGTGTGGAGTGCGGGTGGAGGGGAGACGGCTTGTTACAACCTTTAGGTTGGTCCGGTCGCGTGGGACTCGTCCGGCCGCTTCTGCGCCAGCGCAGGCGGCCGGTCCGCCGTGGCTGGGGGCATCGGCCACTCTTCGGCCAGCTCGCGGCCACCTCTCGGCTGTAGGCGGGCGGTCGGCCGTGGTGTGGGACATCGGCCCGCCGGGTGCGCCGCCGCCCGTCCGGCGCAACGGGCGCGCGACGCCGCTGTTCGGCCAACGGTGCCCGAGACGAAGCCGAGAGTGTCCGAGATTGTCCGAGATTAGGCGCGCGACGCTGCTCCTCGGCCACCGGTCCTCCGTCGAGTGGCTCGGCTTCGCGCCCGCCGAGCCCGCCGTCGCCGCCACCATCGTCGCGGCGGCGGCGGGATGCCGCGTGCTGCTCTACTCGCTGGACCAACGCGAAGGCGGCGAGGGCACCGCCCACGCCGGCTCCCTCCGCCCCGTGGCGGAGTGCACGCTGCCCGACGGCAGACGCGGAGAGGAGCTCGTCTTGGCATGGGGGCGCGACGGGTACCTCTTCGGCGCTTGCGGCGGGAGCCTGTTCGCATGGCGCGCCGGGTGACTGGACTGATGGAGATCGTTCGGCAGACCGTTTTGCGGGGCAAGCTGAAGCTCCGTGGTAACCCGTCTCTGGTAGACGGGAACGAGATGACAGTGAGTAGGTGGTAGGTGGAGTACTTGTACAGCAGTGGCGGTCCGAGCGCTGCTGTTTCTCTCTGCCGCCAGACCCGTGAAAAAGAAAGAAAGCAAAGAAAGAAAGAAAGAAAACAGACAACCCAAGGGAGGGATGGGAGGACGGCACGCCGCCACCACACAGGGATTTTAAGGAGAGGTGTGTGGTGCGCTAGCCGTCGCCCACCCTAGGGAGTCTGCCTCTTCCTATCTCTCTTCGCAGTCTCTCTCCGATTCTCGCTGCAACCTTCAAGAAAGAAAGCAGAAAGAAAGAAAGAAAACAGACACGCCAAACGAGGGATGGGACGAGGACAGGGTCCCCACCTGCACGAGCAGGATTTTGGAAGGACGATCAGGGGGACAGGTGGGGCTCTCCTGCTCCTGACAAGGGACACGACAGGCTCGCAGCGCGGTGCGCGGTGGACTCCCACATCCACTGGCGGTCTCATCTCAGTCTAGCGACCTGCCTCCAGCTTGTCGCTGGCAGTCTTCATAACAGACAACCCAAAGAGGCAGGAATTCTTATTTCGGGGTATTGTAAAATTCTTATTTCGGCCTCTCGCCGCATATGTCGGCTGATCCCGACCCGCACTGGGACATCAAGCTCGCCACCTTCGGCGTCGCCTTTCTTGGCTGCTTCCTCGTCTCTCTCCTCGCGCGCCTCGCCAGCGATGCCGCTGGCGTCGACGTGCCGCTGCACATCCGTGAGCAGCACTCCCGACACACCTCCTGTCCCTCACCCTGCAGCCACGCCCTCCCACGCCCACCGCCACCGTGCCGCGTGGCGCGTCTTCGCTCGTGGCCCGCCCCGACACTCTCTCATGGCTCACTGCCTCGGCGTCCGGGACGCGCTTCCGCTACGGCAGGTGGGCTCGCGGTGAGCGGTCTGCACGCGATTGTGGTGGTGAGCACGGCGACGCTCACTTTCTTGCGCGGCGACGGCGACATCGGCGTCGGCGGCGAGGAGCCGCTGCTCGGCTCGCTCGGCCTCTGCGTCTCGGTCGCTTACTTTGTTTGGGACGTGCGCAACATGCTGCGGACCGGCCGCCAGCCACTCTGCTGCTACTGACACACCAAGTTGATCTCTGAAATTCACCTTGGCGTACTCAGGCCGCCCGCCGCTTGTGCCGCTGCGGACGCACCGACGCTCCTTGTTCTCACCCCCGCCAGCCTGCTTCAGGCTACCAGCCTCTCCTCCCGCTGCTCATGCACCACGTCATCTCCGGCGCGTCGATGAGCTGGATCGGCTGCTGCGTGCCGCGAGATCACCACCAGGTTGACCGAGGCTTCCCGAGAGTAGGCGCGTCGATGAGCTGGATCGCCTGCTGCGTGCCGCGCGCCGTCTGGCACACGTCCCTCCTGCAGATGTCCGTGCGAGGCGACCCTCCAGTTGCATGATCAACTACTCCCCGAGTTAGGTACACCTGCATCCTGCAGATGTCCGAGGCGACCGTACCCGTCAACAACCTGGTCACGCTCTGGGAGTGGCGCGGTGCGAGCGCGCCTTAAAGACCCTCCCAGCACCTCCGAGACACACTCCACTTGCACCGCTGTGGCTCCGCTGTGGCACCGCTGTGGCACCGCTGTGGCACCGCTGTGGCACCGCTGTGGCACCGCTGTGGCATATCACCGCTGTGGCACCGCTGTGGCACCTCCGAGGCGCACTCCTCGCCCCGTCGCAACAGGCGCGCACGACCGGCCGAGCTACACGCTGCTGCGCTGGCTGCTGCCCGCCTCCAAGGCGGCTAATTCCCCGGACCCCATGGTGAGGGAGGGTACGCTTGTGAGTCAGGCTGCTGCTCGCCGCGTGGCTGCCGATGCGGCTCCTCCTCATCGCATACTTCCACGTGCCTGCTCCGCCGGGCGTGGGGCCGGAAAGGAAAGAGGGTCGGTGGAGCGCACGAAAGGAGGGCTTGCGAGCAGGTGCCGGTCTACCGCGAGTGGAGCGGCATGAGCCTGCCCATGCACATACTCGCCCTCAACGGCCCGCTCTTGCTCACCTTCAACTCAGCGGCACTCGCTAAGGTCCGTCGCAGACCGGCCAAGATCGCCACGAGACCGCGCGAGATGACGCGAGATGGCGCGAGGCTGCCCGAGAGGAGGCAGTCGCGACCCGTCACGCCCCCCTCCCCCTGAACAGCTCCCTCTCCACGGCTCCCTCTCCACAGCTCCCGCCCTCTCCACGCTCCCGCCCAGGTCGTGCTCGACGGCTTCCCGTGGCTGGCGCGAAAGGGGGGCAAGGGCGAGTGACGCGGCGGCGCGTCTCATGAGCCGATTGGGCGGCCTGCCCGGTGGTCAGCACCGCGCGCCACGCCAGGCGAGAGACGCGCGGCCCCCCGGCGTTGCCGCCCCCGCGGTTCTGGCCCCTCTGCTCTCGGCCCGCTGCGGTCTGCAATCTTGCGGTGTGGGTGTTGCGTGCACGTGCACGGGTGGCGTGAGGGCGCACGTCGGGCTCGTCGCTTCTGCCGGCGCGTGGTTGCCGCTTGGGGTGGCGTTTGAAACGTGCACGATCGTCCTCGGCGGACCGACTGAGGACGTGCTTCTGAGTTCTGTGTTTGAATTCCGTGATCGAATGCTCGAGAATGTGCTACTGGCCGTCCGTCTACCCGACCGTCGCTTGTGTAGCGCCACACCGACTAGTCTACCCTCTCAGATCCATGTGCATGTGTGGGACTGCGCTGCTGTACTTTAAAGACGTATTTTGCGGAGACAGCGCGCCCCGCTCCACGTCCACCTCGCGCGCGGCAGGCCTAGGCTGGCCGGTTCTCTTTTGCGGTATCTTGATGTATCTCTCCATATCTGACCGTATCCCGCCATATCCCGCCATATCCCGCCATATCCCGCCATATCCCGCCATATCCCGCCATATCCCGCCCGCCTCACGCCGAGCAGCCCGGCCTCTCTCCGCGCTCCGGCCGCAGAGCGCGACGGATGGCTCGTTGTGCGAGTATATGGGCCACGATGTCTCAAATATGAGGGGGTTTGACTCCTACCGGCTCCTGACGCTATCCCTGGCAGCTCTAATGACCGGGATCAGTAGTGCTATGATAGAGGGTGCCCATACTAGCGCAGGAGCTGCCACACTCGCCCGGACCGTCCCCCTCTGGGGCCGGTTCCGCAGCCAGCGAGAGCCGACAGCGGGGCCGTGCCGCGGGTGCCTACTGCCGAGTGCCACAAACACTGCGCCGTCCCGCCACCACCTACAGGCTGTCTTGTGTGATGGTTGGGATGTCCAAACGCCACCATCTTGGCTCTTGCGACCTCAAACCCGCGAGCTGTATGGGTGGTCCTGACGTCGACAGACGCCCGATGACCACGGTGAAGCTGAGCCGGAACGCGTCGACAAGTCTCGTCTGAGCCCGTGGCGGTCGCCGGCTGAGTCGCTGTGCACGGGCCGGTACCTCAGGCGTCACCTCCGCAGCCTCAGGTCTCACACTCCATCACCTCCGCCAGGACGCCGTCGGTGGCACGTTCGGCGGCGAGTTTGTTGCAGCCCCACAGCGAGCGCGGCGTCGAGCCTAATCGGTCTGGTCGGTTCGCGGCACTCCCTGGGTGCCAGGGAGTGCCGCCGACACGCGAGCGGTGCTTCCTGGCAGCGCGCGCCGGCTGTGGGGCTGCAACAAACTCGAGACACGCTTTTTGGGACATTTTCGACGCTTTTGGCCCATACTAGTGTGGGACTGCGGCGGTACCCGTCTCTGTTGTTCGGGCAGTGAGAGACGCAGGATCTGCACGCCAAAGTGGCGCCACTCCGCATTTGCATTTTGGTTTTGGGTTGTCGGAGATCATCCATCAGCACTCATGTCTCATCAGTCAGTCACGTCAGTCAAAGCAGTCGTGGCACTCATCAGTCAGTCACGGCAGTCAAAGCAGTCGTGGCACGTGGAGCAGTCGCTGCATGCAACGGCGCCGCCACACGCTCCGGACGACCCCGACACACACCGACACACCACGCACATTGCGCCCCGTGGTGTTGTGAGGGTGTGCTGGGAGCAGCTTGACCTCCCAACCCTGACCGCCAAACACCTGACCGACTGCGACGTTGCGCACGGCGTTCACCCCGCGTGGGCCGTTTGCTCCGCTCACATCGATGTAGAGGCGGCTCCCATCTCTCCAGTGGTCCAGGTCGACGACCAGCTTGTAGTGATGACCCCCTTCCCACCCGACCGAGCCCATCCTTACGCTGGGGACCAGCGAGCACGGAGCATGCGCCCAGGCGGGCGACCAGGGCATGTCTGTCCCGTCCTATCGTCGGCGGTCGGCGGGCACCGCACTTTGCCGTTGTGGCGGCAGAATATTTTTAGTGCGGACCGATAGCGAGTACGCGGCGGCATGCATGATGGGGCGGGTGACCCCCAAAACGAACAGACAGCTAGCGGAGCGCCTTCGTTCCCTCTGGCGACGCCTTCGCGCCAAACACACCGTGACGTGGAGGCATGTGGCGGGTCACAGCGGCAACGGGGCCCTCTGGGGCGGTCAAAACCGGACCTCCCTACCTATTGCATGGGGTCTAACCGTAGGCAACAGACCCCCTATCTGGGTAGGAGCCGGAACCCAGGTGTGTGTTCTTCTGGGCGGGCCCCAGGGGTTCGGGAGGGGGGTGAGATCCTCCGGAAGGCGGCCCCCCAGGGTTCCGGCTCCTAGCCGGATAGGGGGTCTGTTGGGACTGACTCGCGCCAAAACGCCCTACGTACCTACCTATCCCCAGGCCGCGCAGCGAAGCGAAAAAAGATGAAAATACAGTAGGGGGTACCTATCTATTGCAGGGCCCTTTTGGGCCAAACAAGACCAACCTACCTACCTATCTGGGAGGGGCCAGCCAGTCCGCACAGACCCCCTATCCGGCTAGGAGCCGGAACCCAGGGCGGACGTGCTACAGAACAAGCTGACGCGGGCCCAGTACCTCGGCAGGAATGTGGGTCAGTTTCGACGACCCGCTCGCGCTCCTCTCCAAGGTTCTCGCTCCGCCATGGGAGGGCGAGCAGCCGGATGAGCTCCCGCACACGTGCAAGCCGGCGGCGTGGGAGCGGCAGCATGCCTGCTCCCGGGATTGGGAGCACGACCTGCTCTGGTGCGGCCGCGCAGAGGGTAGTGTCGCCATCCACCGCTTCAGGCTGCGAGATCACGTGTTGGCTCGGGAGCTCGCGGCGGGCATGCAGGCGCTGGCGCTCGAAGAGCGCTCCCGCGGCAGCTCTGGCGATCAGGCCTCGAACGTCGGTGGCTTTCATGGCGCCCGCGACCTGTGGGAACGGCCCGAGGTGCACGAGACTGGGCTGCCGCAGCTCGTGCGCTGCGCCGTGCGCCATGCGGCGGCCGCCGAGGCGGCGGCGCTGCGGCGGCCACCGATCTTCACCACGGCAGACGAGGCATGGTGGAACGCGCTGCCGCCGGGCTGCTGGAACGCGCTCCACACACACGCGGGCAGCACCTACTCTGGCGTCGTGTATGCGAGCGGCGGCAGCCCGCGTGGCAGCCTCGCCGGCCGGCTGGCCCTGCTGCCGAGCGCGCCTCAGTCGCTCTCGCCCGACCAGCGGCAGATTCACGTGCGCGCCGCCGCCACCACTGACGGGCTGGCAGCCGCGCCGCCGCTTCGCCCGACGGACGCGCCGTACCTGCTTCTTGAGCCGGCGCCGGGCACGTGCATCGTCTTTCCGAGCTTCGTGCCGCACTTTGTGCTCCCGACACCGGCGGCCCGCGAGGCGGCGGCCGAGGCGACACCCGAGGCGGCGGCGGAGACGGCGGCGGAGGCGGAAGAGAGTGGGGAGGTGCCACTGCGCGTGAGCCTCGCCTTCAACTTTGGGTCCACGGAGCCGGTGATGGCGCAGGTGTTCACGCTGGGCAAGCGAGTCCGGCTCGTGCTCGAGGCCACGTGCTGAAAACGTTTTTTTTACTGTTCTCGACTGTATGCGAGAGAGGGTGGAGTTAGGAGTAACCAGTAACGATGCGCAAGGCCAATTGCGCTCCGCGCGTTGGCGTCGGTGTTAGGTGGCGCGTGGGTGGTGTCGTAGCCGCTGAGTAAAAGGGCGTCTGGCCCCCGAGCTCGGTCTTCTGTCACTGGTTCTGTGTTCTCTGCTAGGGTTGTCAAACGTTAAATTTGGGGCGCCTAGGCCTAAGGCCTAACAGTTGCGCTATTGTTGGCTGAAATCCTCAACGTGTTGTTCAAGTGTTCATCCCAGCCCATGCTGTTACTGTTTGTTACTGTTGTTACTGTTGTTCAGCGGCCAGCAAGCAGAAAATGGCAAAAACCCGGGGGGTAAAACCCGAAAATACCTGGGATTTTCCGGGTATTTTCGGGTATTACCCGCACTGGACACTAGAGATCATCGTGGGTCACTGCCAGGCCTTCCTTACTGTTGTTCAGTCGGCCTAACGTTAGCTACTGTTGTTGGGGAGCCCCACTGTTGTTCTGTTGGTACTGTTAACACTATAGCAACACTGTTCAGCTCTTGCTGCTGCTGCTGCTGCTGCTGTTACGTCTTCGGTCCCCGCGGGAGGCCCCGCGCATAGGACAACAACGTCTGTCCCACACACACACAGACGCGCACATACATCATGCTCGGGCACACCCCACAGTGTAGTGGTGTGAGTACACAAGTACTAGCAGAGTGCACACCTGCCTTGGCGGGTGAGGGTCGTAAGAATCAAAGCCTCTTGGTGCCAAAACGTGCTCGAGCGCGCCGAAGAGAGACGATCTACGCTGAGGAAGTTAGCGAAAGTCGCACGGGCAGAGGGGAGACCGAGGCCTCCGGCAGTCCGCACCGCCTCGCGAAAGGGAAGCAACGATCAACTCCCGATTGGACTTGTTCAGCTTCTAACGTTTGACAACCCTATTCTCTGCTGAGCAGGGCAGGGCAGGGCGGGGCAGGGCCTGAGGGAGGGTGTAGAGGATGTAGAGTGTAGAGCGCTGTAGAGCTGTAGAGATGTAGAGCGCTGGAGAGCGCTGTAGAGCGCTGTAGAGCTGTAGAGCTCTACATCCGCCGCGGGACGAAGTGCCTGCGTTGTAGAGCGATGTAGAGGCGCTCTACAACGTGAAATATCTGCAACAAACTCTACATCATAAGCGGCGAACGAGGCACGGTCGCTCTCCGACATGAGGCGCGTTGCATTTGCCAGTGCTGCCCTGGCCTTCTCTCTGCCCGCCCAATGGGTGGCAGGTGCCTCTGCTGCTGTGGCATGCCTCACGGCTGCGACTGGCCGGCGCCTCGGCGCGTCAGCTCGGCTGCCTCGGCGTAGCGATAGTGGCCAGCGCAACTCGCCTGGACTCAACGCTCAGCCAGGAGCTCCCGCACGCGCTGTGGCGCGAGTCATGGCGCATGCAACGCGTCTGAATGCTCGCTTCGCCTCGCGCAAATGCGACCGTCCTCGCAGCCGACAGTCCACCTGCGACGGTGTATCATTCACTTCTATG